CCCCCCCCCCCCCACAGAACAGCTTCTTGTCATAGTTTGCTCCTCCCCACTAACCAGTGAGGCCCCATCAACCCCTATGTCATGACCACAAAACCAACTCAGTCGCGATGACACCTATCATGGAACTAGGCCAGTCGACACAAATCCAAAACCAATCAGTATTTTTTTATTGTTAGGTTAAAATCAAATCTATTTAACAATAAACCTTTATATAGTGTCTAAAGCAAAACAATAGTACGGAAAAAAAGCCCGACATCGGGGTATCACTAGTCATGACCATCTACTACAACTGTCTGGCAACCTCAAGACCAACATGGTCGGGGAGAATCACAAAATACACTAAGGGAGAATAAGAAGGGAGAAAAGTAGGGTTGCAATCGCCAGGCAGCTACCTTGCTAACTCCGATGAACCTGCCACCGAGCTCAGAAATACCTGGATTTACACACAAGGTGCAGGGAGTAATGTGAGTACACCAACTCAGTAAGTAATAAAAGTAAATAAAGACGGAGCAGTAGGAAACGATAAATCCACAATGTTAAACTCAGTAAGCATAGCAAGCTTTCAAATCAGAATATGAGTCAATCATCTCATTTAAAATCCAGCTTTTGGTAAAAATCATTTGAAGGTGCTTTCCAACATTTTCAATAGAGGTTCTATACAATTTATAGTAAAAGTGATGAAAATCATAATCGGCCCCTCGGGCAAAACATAGTTCGTATACAGTCCCTCGGGAAAACATAAATCATATACATCTCATAACAGAAAAATCTCTGTGGAAATAACAAAGCCAAATCAACGATTGAATTCCGAACATCTCGTAAAAACTTCAGTTTTAATGAAAGTTGTTTAAAAGCATTTGTTCAACATTCTCAATAGAGGCACAATATAAAGAGGGGTGAAAATAGTAATTTCATAAAAATAAGCCCCCCGGGCAAAGCATCACTCGTGTATATATATATATAGCCCCTCGCGCAAGTCTCTCAGTCACTCGAGACTCAACTCTCATCAATCAGCGCTCACACTCAGCACTCACGCTCAATAGGTACCTTATAATAACCGCTGTGGCGTGCAGCCTAATCCATAAATATATAGTCGACTGGGCTCACTGGGGGTGTGCAGATTCCGGAGGGGCTCCTAAAACCCAAGCTCTATATCGCTGTGGCGTCCAGCCCGATCCAACATATTGATGCGGCGTGCAACCCGATC